CGGACACGGAGCGCGGCTGCTTCTCTCCTGGCCGCCGGCTCGGTCTTGTCCCTACGAAATGAATGAAGACGCTGTTCCGGTTAACTCCAGGTCACGAGAACAGTGAGGCACTTCTGAAACGGACCCATTAGGAACATGGAGACAAATAAAAACCCGGCATCTCCGGCCCGGCTGCTACAGGCTGCTGGCGAAGGCCCTGCTGTCCCGGGGCTCCTCTCCGCCCTGGCGGGGCTCGGGGCTGGGTGCCCAGGCCGCGTCCTCTGCGCCCCCCTCTCTGTCTGGCCCCGGGTCCCTGCAGTTTGCACACGGGAGCAGGGTACCGTTGGGGCTCTGCCGGGCGCCCCCGCTAAGGATGTTGTCGGCCGCGCTCTCCATCTCCTCAATGGTCATGTCGCAGGCGTCGGCCAGCTCCTGGGTGGTGGCCTCGAGGAACCTGGGATCCTGAGCAAATTGCCCCAGTCCTTCTGAGATCAGGACCTGGGGGGAGAGGGGGCCGGGACGGCGTTACTGCCGAGCCCGGCTCTTCCCTCCGGGGCCGGCGCAGGGGCTTCCGACTGGTCACTCGGGAGGAGTGTGTGCGCGCGCGTGCGTGTACTCGTGCGCGTGCGCGTCATGTGGGTACACGTGTGTGTGCTTGTGCACAGGGCGGGAGTGGGACGGAGCACCCCTGCAGGCATTGGGGGCGTGTGGGCCTGAGGAGAGACGGCGGGGCAGGGGCAACGTCCTCAAACGCAGGCAACCTGGGCGCACGGAGGCCACAGGGGCCCTGGTCCTTCCCTCCCACCCACCTGGCGCCCCAGGCCGCCCACGTGACTCTTTCCAGGAAACCTTCAGCCTCCTCTGGTGACACCTGGCCTAGCGCCGCTGGCTGCGTTTCTGGGGGTGAGGATCCCGGGGACGATGCATGTGTGTGTGTGTGTGCGCGTGTGTGCACGCGCAGGACACACCCGGCCCCTGCCCGCTCTGTCCCGAAGCGTCTGCCCGCTTCCTGGTGGCCTCGGGGAGCAGCAGGTGAGCCTGGAATACACCCCAGCCCCCGCCCGCGGCTCCCACCCCATGTGCCCTCACGGCCCCCCACGGCTCCGCTGCTCCCCGGCCAGTGTGACCGCCCTTCCTCGGCCGGGCTGGGCGCTCACGTGGACTTGAGACCTGACCAAGGGTCTTTCTGGCCAGGAGACTTGACACCCCACAGGGCCCCTCCATTCTGCCCGTGGGGCCCCTGCCCGGCCCGCGTGGTTCGGCCTACTCACCGCCTCCACCAGGCTGCTGGCGCTGCCGTGGAAGGGCCGGCCCCGGGGCCCCGCCGGGCTGGGCACGGTGAGGGACACGGGCCGGGCCCTCCGGATGCCGCCGCCGGCCCCGCAGGGCGTGGGCTCCCCGGCCCAGGGGCCGCAGTGGACGGATGGGAAGCTGCCGGTGAGCTTGTCGCTGGACTCGGCCCCCTCCAGCTGCAGGGTGGGCACAGGCCGCGGGGGCCAGGCCGGGCCGGGCGTGGCAGGGGGCGTGGCAGGCGGCGGGGGGAGGGCGCCGGGGGGATGGCTTCTCTGCAGGAGGGGGCTCAGGCCCGCCACCGCCAGCGCCTGTGGACACGACACGAGAGTGCGGGTCAGGGGGCCTCAGCCGTGTCCCACCGCCCGATGCTCGCACCCTCTCCGTCAGGCACCCGGACCTGGAGCCGGTCTCAACCGCCCTAAATAGACTCTGTGACCGTCAGTCTGCAGGGATCTTTCCCCTCTAAGCTCAGAAAGCCACGGGCCAGTGGGATCCAGGCCACCTGCCCTCTAGCCCCGGCGCCGCGTCCCCCGTGAGCCACGGACCCTCTCCACCTGCTCTGACGTGACGGGTCCAAGGAAGCGACACTGCCTGGTGGGGAGGACCAGCCCGAGGGGCAGGGGGGGGACGTGGCCACAAGGGTCAGAGGGCAGCTCAGAAGCATAAGGGGAGGCTGTAAATCGAGGGAGGTTTTCCTTCCAGCACGATAAGCAGAGACGGGTGAAATCAGCTTCTAGAAATCTCTCAGAGAAGCACACGCAGTGCCCCCCAGCCTGCTGGCCTCCCTGCCCACTGCTCTCGAGGGCCCCCAGTCTGGGGTCCTGGGTCCCTGGGGATCTGAGGGAAGTGTAAGGCTCTGCTCGACATTCCAGAAAGCCCTGTGGAGACCACGCGTATTCGTGCGATGGCGCACAGGCTGAGCAAAATCGTGTATTTCCTTGAGTAGAAACACCATCGCCCTGGCAGAGCCACGCTGGCTGTCTTACGCCGACTGTGAGCTGTGATTGGCACTGAATGCCTTTGGGGATAAAAAAGTCATTTAAAGCAGAGGCCCGTGGTAAGGGAGTATGTAATCACAGAGGTAAGAAGGTGGGGAGAATCTAGTTTAGACCCTAATTGTTTAGCTGTTGGAAATCGCTGTCAGTTCTAGGGTCCTAAGAGCAGCTGGATGCTGGGGTCTTGGATTTTGCCATCTTTTGGCATCACCCAGGCCAAGAGCTGGTTCAACTGCTGAATCTGCCTGGACCCGCTTTCCTGACATCACCCCTGTCCCTGACCATGCTGCTGGAACACTCTCTGGTCATTTCCATATTCCAGTGGGTGGATTTTTGTGCAGCTAAATGTCCAGGTGTCTTATGGCTCTAGGTATGACCGGACCTGCCTGTTGTGTAGCCATGTCTGGGGAGGGAACATCTGGCCACTGGGAGGAGAATGCTCAGGCCGACCCAGAGCAGCTGGTCCTTCCAGCCTCCAGAGGGGCTCCTGCTGTCCAGGACCTCCCGGGTCTCCCACCCGGGAGAGCACGGTCCTCGTGTGGGAAGAGCCCCCTCCCTGGGGGCTGTTAGGGCCAGGGGTGGGGACACAGCCGTGTTCTGGACAGGAAGACTGACGGGCATCTGGGGGATTTGGTGCACGATCATCACGGGGTTGTCTAGCCTGCTAGGTGGTGGCCTGTGGCCTGTCCTAAAGTGGGGGCTACCTGATGGTGAACGAGATGCAGGGGCAGAACTGTCTTCTGAGAGATGTCTCCCCCTGGATTCTTCTGTCGCTTCAGACACTCAAGGTGGAAGGAGGCCCTTCGACCTGCGGAGCAAGTGATGGGTCAGCACAGTAGATGACACGGGGGACTTCCCTGGTGGCGCAGTGGATAAGACTCTGTGGTCCCAATGCAAGGGGCCCGGGTTCGATCCCTGGTCAGGGAACTAGATCTCACATGCATGCCACAACTAAGGAGGCTGCATGCTGCAACTAAGGAGCCGGTGAGCCACAATTAAGACGCAGCACAACCAAATAAATAAATATTAAAAAAAAAAAAGAGAGAGAGAGAGAGAAGATGACACGGCCCTGACGGCTCACACGAGGGAGGGGCAAGGATGCCCCCCCCCCCCCCCCCCCCCCCCCCCCCCCCCCCCGGCACACACAGCAAAAAAGCCTCTCAGGCTGGTAAGTGCTGGTCAGCACTGATCCTCTGTGTGGGAATCTCTCTTCTTTGCCCTCTGCACCCTGTTGCTGCACTATCCTCTGTGGCTCTGAAACTTCACCCCCACCCACCTCCAGTCTCCACCAGTGAAGGGGCTTCCTAGTGTGTGGAAACTTTTCCTCCTTCACAGCTCCCTCCCAGAAGTGCAGGTTCAATCCCTATTTTTCTGTGTCTGTTTTTTTCTTTTTCCCTACCCAGGTACGTGGAGTTTCCCCCGCCCCAGGCCCCTCGCTGAGATGCCACATTAGCACACGTCCAGCCCGGGTCCAGCCCGGCCGTGGGCCACTTGAGCCCCATGAGGTGACGTTCCTCAGTCACCCCTGTGTGCCTGGCCACCGTCACGGGGGCGTAGCCACCTTTAGAGAGAGGGTCTGAGGTTACCTAGGGAGGCGGAGCGCAGGAAGCCCCTCTTTGGAGAGAGATGGATGTCTCTCCTGTCCTCCTCAGGGGGCGCCAGCTGCCGATTCTCGTCGTCCTGGTAGGAGAGCCTGGAGCAGAGGACACCGGGCACTGTAACCTCCGGGCAGCCTGCTTTTTCCCTAGTGAGGGAACCCACACTCTGTGCTCTCTAAAGGCCGCGCTCTCTGCTGTCACAGATGTTCCCGCGGCTCCTTCCGCCTGTGCGCCGTGTGTCCTCCTGCACTTGTGATTCGAGGCAGGGGGACCACCGCTGCTGAGAAAGCTGGGAACAAATTCTGGGCCTGCAGCTTCTCTCTGCAATGGTGTGCTCACAGGCGGATGCTGTCTACCACGGCCACTCCCAGCACGAGACCACGCTTGTGCCCCCTCACTCTCCGGGCCTGCCCACCCTTGGTCAGCAAGAGTGCGAACATGCGGTCATCGGTGAGGGGCAGCTGCGGGCCCTTGGGGGTGTCTAGTGAGTCAACAGCTCCTGGGCCTTCTAACGGGGACTCAGTGAGAAACGGCTCCTCCTGGCCCAGGGCACACGACAGACGTGCCCAAGGGCTGGACTCGGGTCCATGATTACATTCCCTGAATCCACTGCACCCGAGAGCCTCTGTTCTACCTTGGCCTGGGCTATTTCACTGAAAACAGCCATTGTAGCCCCTAAGTTGATTTTGCAACCCCTACTGGAGCCGTCTGCACCCCAGACACCCGCTTGTGTTCTAAGCCCTTCGTGTCACAGACGAGGCCACCGCCTGTGCCTGGTGTGACTCCACGTACTTTGAGGACAGAGCCTGTGCTCCTGGTGTGCTGTGTGCAAGCGTTTGCAGACATGCAGGGAGGGTTCTGGACAAAAGCCACCATGCTTGCCTCTCATGTTCAGCTTGGTCACCCTCCCTATTACATTTTCTTCGTATCCAGACCGTAACCACTCTTGAAGCCCCAGCTTCTGTGTGACCTCGTGCCTGGTGCCTCTCTCCGACCTTGACCTTCTCTGAACGTCTATACTCTCGCTCTGTGAGCAGCTACTGAGGAAATCTTTATTTTCCTCCTCTGAGATCCTCTTAGCTCCTTAACCAGCCTGTGGCCTCCCTTGGGTGCCGAGGCCGGTTCGTCCACCATCTAGCAGAGGGCCTGCAAGTACCAAGCACGCACCAAGAGCCCAGACGGTGGGAACAGATGCTCTTCTTGACTTCTCGGGTATGTGGCCATGTGTTAATCCGCATTGTCTGAACAGCGAAAGCTGAAAGGGCTGGTCCTTCCTTGGGGTAAAGTGTTCCTCTCGGGAAATCATCTAACACAGGTTCAACTTTGTGAACGCAACTCACAGTTGCAAATGCATTTTATGGGACTTGGCAACAAATGATTCACAAAATACTACTGCCTTTGTGACTCTGAATACGCTAGCTCCTATTGTCCTGCTCTAGCCTATTCTATGCTATTCTGTGCTATGATTTCTTTTAAAAGTGTTGATTGTAACTGACTAAGCAGATGTCACAGCTTCCTAATGGGTCTGGATCTGCAGTTTAAAAACCCTTCTCTTAAAAAATTCCGGCTGTGATGGAAATCTCAGCTACGGCTGACAACGACGCCCTCTGCTGGCAGCTTTATTATAGGCAGTTTCACGAATATTTGTCAATAGGTACACGTGTCAAGAAAGCCTAGGAAACAACGTTAAGCAGTTTTCCTGAAAGCATCGTGTCATGAGGAAGCGCCAAGCCAACCAGGGGACCGTGTGTACGAGGGTGGGGGGCTTCCTCTGCTTTGCAGCTGCCAGAGGAGGATTCCAGGGACCCGCCCGTCACCCTCTACCCTCCCCTTCTCGGGCAGCCGGAGAGGGCAAAGCTCACATCTCCGTGCAGATCAGGCTGGGCTCACTGCCGTACTCGGCGTCCTCATCCATCCTCAGGTCACAAGTCTCATCCCGAGGGGCCTCGTCCTGACACACCATGGCTATCAGGCTGTCCCGGGAGGGGCACCTAAAGTGTCCGGGGTAGAGACAAAAGTCAGCAACCGCCAGCCCCTCCCCTCCCCCCGGCAGGTGAGGCATCACACACACACACACACACACACACACACACACACACACACACGACCACCGATGGAGCCGAGAAGTGTTACCATAAGGGTTCCATGGTGGGGGGGAAGGGCCTCCGGGTTAGGATCCAAGGGGATCTGAGTTCTGACCCGGTTCAGTAACACTCTGGGGTAAGTCATGTTGCCCACCCACGACTAGTGTCCCCACCAGTAACACCGTCTGCCTGCCCGGCTCAGGGCTGGCAGCACTATTCGGGGTGGGGGGGGGACCAGCGAGGGGGTGGTCCCTTCCCTGTACTGCAGACAGCCGGGCCTGTGGGCATTTGCTGGGCAGTTCTGAGGACTTCCTGGTGTCATATGTGACATGGTTTTGATTTGGTGTTGACTCCTTAGAGCAAAGCACAGAGGAGAGGCCTCACAAAGGGGTTCGTTCTTCTGAGCAGTGAGCCTGAGCCCCCCGAGCCTGAGTCCCCCTGAGCTGCAGACCTTCTACACCAGAATGTGCCTCAGACCGAGCTTCTTGCCATCCAGGCCCTGGTCTACTGCTCACTTGGTCACGTGGTCTTTCGCTCTGGCCTCTGTCCTCCCTTCCTGTCTGTGTCCTGCTCGGAGTCTCCCTCCACCTTTCTTCCTGTAGGTCCTGGGTGCTGGGCCCACTTTATGCTCAGGCTCCCAGGGCCTCTGGGAGATATTCCAGCTTATCGTCTCAGATCTGAGTGCGGGGTCAATGTCCAGCTTTGACCCTGCGCCTGTGAGCCACTCGGGGAGGGTCCGGGTGGATCTCTGGGGGAGGCCCTGACCGATGGCGCCCTGCCCCCGGTGACTGACACAGGAGACGCTGCGTGCTTTTGCTGGCGTGGGAGGGGCGCAACGTGGAGGAGCTTGGTGAGGCGCCGCGGCGTGGGCTGGGGACGCCCCCCGCGGGCCACTGTGTGCAGGACGTGAGGCCAGAGCTGGGACCACCGCACTCAGCCGTGAGCTGCGATGGGTGGGACACGGCCCGGGCTGGAACCTCGGCTAACGCGGCATGACGAATGGATGTGAACGCCGGGAGGCCGGGAGCTGGCCTCTGGGATGAACGCAGCTCAGGGCACTTGTCCAGGGATTTAGAAAAGATCACTTCTGGATCTGAGCTGGAGGGGAGGAAAGGAGGTCTGCCCCAGAAACGGGGCTGCTGGGGGCTGCTGTCCCGCTTGGAGGGGCAGCTCAGCTAAGGGTGAAGTGTTCAGATCCTCCCGGGCCTGGGAGCCTGGAGCTGCTGATATAAATGAGGCACTTGCCGAGGGCCAGGGCGTGGAAGTAGGCGCCGACCGCCCCAGCACATCATGGCAGTGGGTCCTGGGGCACCAGGGAGCATCGGGTGGGAGAAAAGAAAGGGACAGGAGCCGGGAGACGTCAGGACTGCCAGGAATGATCCCGCGTGGGGTCAGAGCAGGCAAGCGCCCAGCGAAGGGCCTCCTGCCTCCAGAATGCCCCCTTCCGGGGATGAGAAGGGCACGAAGAGGAGGGGGTGGGCCTGCCCCACACCCTGGGGGCCCAAGGCCAGGTTTGGGCAGAGACTTGAGAAAGGCCTGGGGACGGAGACGCAAACATCTCGGGCATCGGGGCCAGAAAGCTCCGGGGCGAAAGCAGAGAAGGCCCCGTCCAGAGGCGCGCGCCTCGGGACACTTGCTGGCCAGTGGTGCCACGGGGCCTCCCGAGCACGGCTGCAGGACCCGGGAGGCTGCATTGGCTGCCCTCTGGCCGGGGTCTGGGCAGCAGCCTCCACCCCAGCTGGAGGGCTGAGGGGTCAAATGCTCCTCCCCAAGCCGCTCCCGTGCAACCCCTTGCTCACCTCTTGGAGCTGAGCCTCCACGAAGCCCCCTGCACCTGGACAGCGGGGGACAAGGGGGGCCCACGGCCCTCCACGGTGCTGACGCTGACAGCACCGGGCTGGCCGGCAGGGCAGGGGCAGCGGCCCAGGGCAGTGTTGTTGGCGTTGTTGATGTTGGCGTTGGAACCCATGGAGGAGTAGCTGCTGGGGATGAAGGTGGAGTCCACCAGTTTCTCGTGGGAGGGCGACTCCGCGTCGCCCTGGCTGGTGCCCGCCTTGCTGATGTGCAGAGGGCGCTGGGTGGTGAAGGTCTGGGGGAAGGTGCTCCGGCTGTCGCTGGGGTAGTAGCCCACGTGGTTGCCGAACAGGCCGCCGGCCCTCTGCAGGCGAGACAGAGGGCTGTGTGGGGGGGTGGCCCGCCCACAGCCGCCTCTCCTCGCCCGGGAGCTCAGCCCCGCCAGGCAACACGTGGCCGAGTCTCGGGCGGAGACCCTCCACTGCAGCAGTGGGGCATGTGAGGGCCGAGGGGTGGAAAAAGGGGCCCGAAGGTTCTAATGGGATTTAAAAAAAGGAATCCAACTGGCTCACTGAGCTAGGAGCTACGTTGGCCAAATGGTTCTGAGAATAAGAAGGACTTAGTTACTACAACAATTACACTCTGGCCTCCTTTCCCCTGGGAGAGTCTTAGATTTCAAGTCAGGAACCAGTGTTTTCCCCCGACTTCCCCCCTTGTCCCAGGCAAGTGGGCAAGTAGCTACCTGCAAGGCTGGGGGGGTCTCTTGGGGTCACACTGACATGCTAGTGTGTCCCCGAGGCCATTCAGTGACCGACATTTCACAGTGACAAGGAGGAGGGTGGTGAGGACAAGACAGCCTCAGGGTGACGGGCTCCTCTCACCCCCATGTTTCCACCGCCTGGGAGCCTGCTGGGGCCGGGAGGCGGGGTGAGAGGCCCTAGCGCAGTTCTGGGTGGTAGCGTCTCACTTGCTATAGGATTTTTAGCCAAATACCTTGGGGATTCATGAAGAGAGCTGGGTGCAAGGGCCCCAGAATTCCAGCGGGCACTAGTTTTCACTGTTAAAACTGATGGCAGGGGCTCACCTGGTGGCACAGTGGTTAGGAATCTGCCTGCCAGTGCAGGGGACACGGGTTCAAGCCCTGGTCTGGGAAGATCCCACATGCCGCGGAGCAACTAAGCCCATGCGCCCCAACTACTGAGCCTGCACTCTAGAGCCCGCGAGACACAACTACTGAGACTACGTGCCACAACTACTGAAGCCTGTGCGCCTAGAGCCCATGCTCCGCAACGAGAGAAGCCACCGCAATGAAAAGCCCGCGCACTGCGACGAAGAGCAGTTCCCACTCGCCGCAACTAGAGAAAGCCCACGTGCAGCAACGAAGACCCAATGCAGCCAAAATAAATAAATATATAAAATAGATAAAAAAATAAATTAAATAAATTAAAAAAAAATATATAAAACTGACGGCAGCCTCGGTATCCAGGAGGGGAGAGAGAAGGCCGGAGGGGGCTTTGGGGCCTGGAGACCTCATGGTCTAAGTCAAGATTGCCACTGGCTTCCAGACCTCTGCTGCCTGATACCGTACCGCACAACTTCTGGTTTTTTAAGAGAGGATAGAAGTCTAGATTTTTATTTGAATGTGCCAGATTTTCAAATGTTGGCAAACAAAATAGGTCTGTGGATTCGACGTGGCACAAAGGCCAGCACTTTGCAACGTGTAATGTAGAAACGTCTCCTAAAAAACATTTCCTTAGCAAAATAGCTCCCTTGCACCTTCTCCGAGGGCCAGTGATGCTCTGTGAGCTGCCGGGTCCGGGGAGCCCCGGCTTGGGAAGGACTACTAGGCTTGGATGAGGTGGAGGGCTGGGGGAGGGCTGGG